AGAGTCAGGGTAAGGGACACCTTTTTCCCAGAGAGTGCCCTTAGGAAACTCCACCCTCAGGTGAGATGGTCCCAGCCTGCTCTCTGTGGCCTGAATCCCACATTCTTGAGAAGTTAATAGTGATCAGTGAGTCACAGGCTTTTCTAAAGTTCTTGTCCCTGTTCTTTTGACCGTCACAATCCTACTATGTGGCATCTTAGGACAAAGAGAACCAGGAAAGTGAGTAATAAATGTGACCAAGGGGGAGACATCAAGTCTCACTTCTCAGGGCAGTTGACTGGCTGTTGGAAACCCCATTGTCCCAGTCCTGGAGTCCTGAGTCACAGGGTCCACCCTTGTTTCCTCACAACCCCTGTGCCACCAGAAGCTGGGGACACAAACATGGGAAGAAGGGCTCCTCCCCGGCTGAGGGACAAGGGAAGGAAAGGCAGAGGAAGGCCCTTCTGAGTGGGGTCCTTTGCAGATGTCCTTAGCAGCATCTTGGGGGCCGCTTCCTTCCCGCTTTCCTTCTGAGCAGACCCTGCCTCTTTATGGAGTACACGTGGAACAGTGCTGACCTCGCTGGGTCATCAGGGCCGTCATGCTCTTCTTTGAGCTTCAAGGACAGAGGTGTAGTTACCAGCAGCCACCTTGGCATCTGAGAATGAGGCTGGTCAGAGTACGGCAGAGCCATGTAATGGTACGGTGGTTACTTTCGTGTGTCAGCTTGGTAGGCCGCAGCACTCAGACATTTGGGCAAACACATCAAGGTGCTTATCCATGAAGGTGTTTTTGAGACGGGATTAACATTTACAGTGAACTCTGGGTAATTGCCCTCCATAATGTAGTGGACCTTGTTTAATCGGTTCATAGTCTCAACAGGAAAAAAGCTTACAGGAGCTGGAGAGATGGCTCAGTGAGCAGGAGGGCTTGTTCAAGCTTTAGGACTCATGTTCAAATTCCCAGAACCTGTGTAAATAGCCAAGTGTGTGCCTCTGCATACATGTGTACATACACCACCACCCCTTCCCACGTGCACCTTAAAAAAATGCTGATATTTCCAAGGAAGAGAGCATTCTGCTGATGACCAGTCTGTATTTGCACTAAATATGGCCCCACTATGCTGGCATTAGAAATGCTTGAGCTTATTATTTAAAATTAACACAGCAAGGACTGCAGAGATGGCTTAGCAGTTTAGAGCATGGGCTGGTCTCACAGAAGACCCAGGTTTGATCCCCAGCACCCACATAGAGGCTTACAATCATCTATTAACTCCAGTTTCGGGGTATCTGCCGCCCTCTTCTGGCCGCGGAGGGCACTGCATGCATGTGGCGCACAGGCTGACAAAACACACATACACATAAAACATTAAAAATTTAAAAAGTAACATAATAACCAACTTAAAAGTTCTCCATATGTTTATATATAATGTGTGTATTTCACTGTGTGCAAGTGTGTGCGTGCACACTTGTGTGTGTGCACGAACACACTGTGTACATGTATGTTCCTTATTCTTTGGGGAAACTTTGGCTGATACAGGAATCCACAACAGGGTCCCAGTGCCTTTATTTCAGTATCAGGCTCTCCAGACTTCCTCAAACACTTCTGGATTATTTCCCAGTACTTAAACTGTCCTCTGGAGCATTTTTTTTTTTTTGTCAGTTCCATCTCTAAGGTTCACAACTCACTGAGTTCTCAGCCATACCAAAAGAAACACCAGGCTTCCTTTCACAGACGGTCTAGGCTTTGAAGGGTGCACAGAAAGTTTCTGTGGGTTTGAAGATGATGCAACGAATAAAGCAGGCAAGCACAAGGATCCAGAGAAACCAGAGTCAGTGCTACCAGAGCCAAGGAGGCGACTGGTGGGAGACAGGGCTAGAGAAGTGGGCAGGGGCCAGGTGCTATGGGGCTTTAATAGCCAGGCAGGAGTCTGGACTGTCCTTCGGACACTACAAACAGTTCAGCTGTGGTCCTGTTGCAGTTTTAGCTTGTTCTGCAGTAGGGAGATCAGATGAAACAGACGGGAAACAGAAGCGAGGGAGTGGTTCCCCTGATGTTCCTGAAGACAAATTCCATGTGGCAGCCATGTGTTTCTCATTTCTTTGAAGCAATGCTCAGTCAGGGGAACCAAACTGTGGAGTTTGGACCTCAATCCTAGCTTGCCACTTGCTCCCTGTGAAAGCTCAGCCTTGATACGGGATGCTTGGTCTCAGTTTCCTACGGAAGATAACAGCAGCATCTCCCTCCCACAGTCCTTTGCACGGATGCTGTGACTCATTTAAGGTTTGGATCCCAGTACAGTGCTCCATGTAAGTATTTCCAATGTAAGTATCTCAACTGGTGACCAGTCATACTGCAGCTAATGTCCCATGATCTCCGCCTATGTCAGCTTTCTGTGACCGTAGGAAAATACCTGGAGCAATCAAATTAAAAGGAGGAAGGGTTTGTCTGAGCTCATGGATTTGGAGGGATCTATGATCGAGCAGATAGATTGCTTTCCAGCCTGTGGTGAGGCAGCTATAATGGCGGGAGCACCTCACAGAGGCGCCGGAGAGATGGAGGTCTAATAATCCTCATTTAGGAAACCACTCCAGCGTTACTAACTTCTCCCACTGCTGGGTCCAAAAAGAGTCGGAAGAGTTGATCTGTGCTTCCAGCTGGGAAAATGTAGCCCCTCATGATGTGGAGGGACACGGTGGTGGGAGCCTGCGGCAGCTCCGGCAGCCAGAAACTAGTGAGCAGACAGGAAGTGGGACTAGGAGCTATAAAGCCTCAAGGACCAGCCCCAGCAATCCACTTCCTTCATCCCCCCCCCACCCCAGCACCCTTAGATTTTCTAAAGAACCCACAACCTTCCAAAATAGTGCCACCAGCTGGGGGAACCAAGCATTTAACCACCGGAGCCGGCAGGAGACATGTCACAATCTGACACATACAGCTCTCAAAGACCCAAAACATCCCCCCTTTCATTTTTTCCACTTGCCAGTAGCACCAAACAGAGGAGCATTAACACACAGGAGCATGGAGACCTTCCCGGTCAAGAGATAGTACCTTGGTAAGAGGAAATACTATGAGTGAAATGCACTTGCAACCCTTAATAGCCACCACAGCACACAGCAGACCAGGGTGCTTACCCTACCCTGATCGCATGGCCGCTTTGGAGCTGTGACTTCCTTCCCTTCCCAACACTACCAGAGCGTGCCACATCATAGACTCCGCTAGTCAGGGAAAGGACTGAGACTGAAGTCTGGTTCTGTTGAAGGAGCATACCTTTTGCCCTGTAGTAAAGTTGAACCATATAAATGGCCTCCTGAAGTGTGGACTTTGTGTAGCTAGCAGACCTCAACCCTGCTAAAGCCAGCTGTAAACCCCCAGCAGGACTGACCCCACTCGCTGCCGGCTTCTGGTGCCAAGTAAGCTACCTGCCTTCTCTCTGCACCCTGGCTCTGCTCCTTTTGGTTTCAGAATCCAGGCCAGTTTAGGGCTCTGGGATCAAAGAAATGTCAATCATGGCAAGGAGGGAACAATCACCGAGATCTGGAAGCAGATCCTCAGATGACTGTGAGAGTGAGGAGCAGGCTGGACCTGCCTGGGAAGATGCTTTCCAGCTGCCCAGGCCCAAAGGGAGCACCACGGGGCAGCGCTGCGGCCTCAGCTTTCCAGAGACAGAGGTGTGAAGCTCAGAGCTGTCTCGGCAACCTGACAGCCTTGGATGCAACTTCAGTGAGAGGGGAGGGATGCTGAGAGTCAAGAGCATCTGTGGGCCCCTAGCCGTCCAGGTTGGTGTTTCTGTGGGGCGATGCAGAGGAGAGGACGGTGTTACACCTTGGGCCTCTGACAAGTCACCCTCCTTGGCTGGCTACAGCTTTCCTGAGAAGTATCTGGGGATGGGAGTAGATTCTCTGGTGCCTTGTGGGCCAGCATCAATAAAGTCAGCCCCTCTTGTCAGCCCTTGAGTTTGCGGTATAGAAGAGGGGTTCTGTCACTTGTGGGGAGCAGTCTGTGTCACTGCAGAGGACCCCCATACCCGACCCAGTCCCCCTGTGAATTCTGGCTTCAGCTGTCCCCAAGGACCTGTGCTAAGCCCTACTTTATACAAGCTGTCTGGAACTCCCCAATCCTTATCTGATTAATGCTGTATACTTTGGGTTCAATATGGATGGCGACTCTCTCCATGGAGTATCCAAAAGGCCCTGTCTTGTCCCTGCTGGCACCTTCTTTCTCTTTCCCTAAGGTTCAGCTGGAACACATTCTGAGCAGGAGGTGAACTCACATATTTGTCCCACCTTGTCGCACTTGGGCGACCTTGGAAGATGCAGTGTAGTCTCTGGTAGCAGCTGGGTCACTCCATGCCTTGAGGTACCCCTTTGACTGGAAGACGGCAAAGCCCTGCCACACACCCTCATTCCCCACCTCTCTTCCAGGGACACCCCGAAGCCCTGCTTGGGGTTCCGACTACCCCTCCCTTAGCTGTGAGTCAGGCCTGGTCATCAGTCCTCTGCATGTTCCGCTCAGATCACAGCCACGGAGCCACAACCTTCCAGTCTTTCACACAACAGCCTTGGACTTGCCGCCCACACACATTCATCCCAGAAGCTGGAAAAGGCGTCAGTCTTGTTTATTAGTGAACTCACAGTCAGGTTTTCAGCAGTAGTCGCAAAGGAGAGAGAAGAGGGCGGGAGAGAGCTGCAGGAGCTGGGAGCTCCTATTCGCGAGGAAGGGATGCTCCAGAGCTGGGAGGGACCAACTTAGTAAAGCTGGAAGAAAAGGCAGATGGACCCCTGCAGGCCACCTCCAGAACGGCAGCTGCTTTTTGCTCCACCTTTTGGGGGCCTTCTGAGGAGGGGCCAGGCCATTTGCTTTCCTGGTGTGGGGCACAGCTTCAAGGAGGCCTCTCGACCCGGTGACTGCGTTTCTCAAGCTGAGTTCAGGGCCTGGGTGCAGAGCTTGCCTGGCTCCTGGCTTCTCTCTCCAGACTTTAAAAGAAGGTCCTGTGGGGGAGAGGAAACAGGCAGAGTGGACAAGCGTTATAAATGACCCTCTGTCCCCACCGTGGCGGCACACAGCCCTGCCAGTCTTCAGGGGCCCCTCTCAGTTTGGCTCACACCAGCCACAGCACCCAGGAAGCCAGTGAGAAGGCAGAAGGGCTATCAGGATGAGGTGGGATGGGAGCGGCAGGAAGGACAGGAGTTGCTTGTCAAGAGCAAGAGACAAATGGCCATCAAGAGCATGGTAGGCCGGGCCCACTGTCTTGGCACATGAAACACGCGTGTGAGCATGAGTGATATTTTGGGAAAATTGCAACAGAAGCAGTTATCAAGTCCATGCTTGGAGCTGCTCTGCCGTGGGCTTCAGACCACAATCAATTCCCGCGTCTCAGCCACAAAACACAGGACAGAGATAGAGAAGCATTCTCCAAAGTTCGGCTCCATGGTGGGCCAGAGAGGATCCAGATCAAGGTGGGAAGGAGATCAATGAGAATGTCCCGAAGCAGGGATTGGGACATGACAGGGCACATCACAGGAACCCACCAACCCTGGTTCTTTGGACCAGCTTAAAGAGCCTGAATGGCCTGACTCTGCCTGAGCAGGGTACAGGGCTCCTGCAGCGGTTCTCAAGGGAAAGAGAGGCCTCTGTGGGGAGATTCAGTGGCCCCCAATGTTCTCCAGCCTAGCCCAATAGGTGGGAGGTACCACGGTGCTCAGTGCTACCTGCCACCCTGCTCCACTAGACTCTGAGTGTGACCCAAAGCAGGTCCCAAGGGCTGTGGGCACCAGAGCTCCCAAGTTCCAAGCCAGTGCCCCCAGCTGGGTCTTGTGCACCCCCCTTAAGCTCTCGTGTCCCAGCCATTGGCAGCAGCCCCAAGGGAGACATTTCTGCAGGCTGCCTCTATCTCCCTTCTGATACCAGTCCAAAGAACCTGCCAGGATCATGGGCAACACATGGCATGCAGCATGGGCAGACAGAGCCCTGCAGCTGCCTGCCTAGTCACCGTGGGCTCCAGCCGCAGGAAGAACCCGTGTCTACACACGGCCTCATGGGTTTCAAGCTGCTCTGGGACCAGCTGGGGGCTTTCGGCTGCAGAAGAGGGAAGAGAAGAGCTACACATGCAGGGTGGAGCGGGAGACAAGAGGCTCGGTTACTGCTGGGCGAGGCTCTGCAGGACCTCCCCCTGTACTGCTTTCTGCCTCTCCAGTCGTGCCTAGGCCCTGGGTTCCAATAGGCACTATAGATTCTTCAAGGCATGTGGAATGGAGGCTATGCTGGGCAGGAGGGTGGGTCAGTGATGCAAGCCAACACTAGCTACTAAGGTCCGGGACTCTGTTCCAGGGTGTCCCTAACCCAGGGTGTTCTAGGCCCCATGACTGCCAGCAGATGGGTTCACAGGGCATCCCTTTCACTGGGAGAGTCTGGAGGAAGGTGGCCAGAACCCTGGGAGGACAGGGAGAGCAAGGGCAGGATGCCTGCACACACTTACAGCTCATCGTCATACTCCTTGGGGGGACAAACGGCAACCACAAGGTCTATCCAGTCCTGTGGAGAGAAACCATGTGACCACAGCGCACACGGAGGGTGGATGATGCACCTGCCTGGTGTTCTGTTCCACTCCCGGGCTTCACAGACCAGGGTCATTTTAGGGCACAGTAAATGCTGGGGTTCCTTTCTGGAGGCCCATACCCTAGGAAAGCTCTTCCCCAGAATCAGGGCTACAAGACCCTCACTTGGCACCAAGTTCCCATGTGAATCTATGGACCAGGGCTAGGCAGTCACTTCAGAATCATACATGGACTCATGGAGGTGACCCCTGAAAGTCTGGGGTACATCCTAGGAAAGTGTACCACTGACTGGCTACATGTATAACCCTGACTCATAACTAACACAGGCTCTATGGGTCTCAGTCTCTGATGCTGACACTCAGTCCCCTCAATGGCATCATCACCATTGCTAGCTTGCACTGTCCTCCCTGGCCTCGGGCGCGCCCACTGGCAAGTCCTGAAAGAGCACTGCCCCTCCCCCCACACCAAGTTCCTAAGATTGAACTTCACTCACCCCATCCCGTGGCCTCCCTCCAGAGCATGGCACTGCTCCTCTGCCCTAGCACAGCCCTTCAGATCACCAAAGGTCATCGTGTTACCCGCTGGTCTTCTCTTCTCCACATCCTCTCATGTGGGTCCCAGGCCCATCTGGTCAGCTTCCTCGGCACTGAACTTAATACCTCAGGCTCAGCTGCCTGCACACAGTGGCACACGTTGTGCACTGCACAATGTGAGTGGGCACCATTTACATTGGTCTGTAGGCAGGCACCCCTCAGACTGTGCAGGGCACCTCCTGGGAGACTTTATGTGGTAGTCCTGATCCGTGTGGCATATCTGCTGAGCACGGAACAGATCACCAGGCCCTCTTCCGTCTGCTCTCTGGTCTGGTCACTCTCTGCAGTCCCCCCCTCCCCGATATTCTCTTGATTCCTACTTAGCACACACTTAGAGAAGACCCTGGAGGGTTTTTTTTTTTTTGGCGGGGGGAGGGGGTTAGATGGTCATGTCCAGTCTTCTGGACTCTGTGCCACTGACTGTTGGGACTCAGGACTGAGTAAGAAGTGGCAATTCTCAGAGCTGTAGCCTTTCAGGTCCAATCCACTGTCTAGACCTTGGGTACTAGCCCTGGACTGGGTCATTGCCATTGCAAGGCCAGGCTTCAGACACCAGGGTCTGGGCCAGAGAGGGAGGAGGGAGGGGGAGGGGCTCGTTCTTACCCCACCCTGATTCCAGGCCTTCTGCAGGGCAGCCTCAGCCTCAGCCAGGGTGTAGTCCGTCACAATCTTGCCATTGATGGCCATGATTTCGTCCCCTTTCACAACACCACCTTCAGGAAGAAGCAGATTGGCACCTGGACTACTTGTGACATGTGCTTAATTCAGGACTTTGTGTGGGTCATTACTGTGAGACAGTGGAAGAGTCCTCACCCTGGACTCTGAAAGCTCCTGAAGACAAAGCGGACTCAGTTTCTCAAGGCCCTCGCATGGGTGCTCTCTAGCTCTGCAGAGCCCCAGTAGACAACGGTGGAGCCCTTGGCATTGTACTCTGCAGCAGGATGGGCCTGCATTTCTGGGGCAGTTCAGAAAGCCGGAGTCATCAAGGTCAGACAAGCCTCTCCAATGCCCTCCATCAGGAACAAGTCCCTTGGAGTACCTGCAGCTCCACAATTTTCACAGCGTGACCACAACCATTCACTCGCTGATGACCCCTCCCATCTCTTCCAGGCTCCACAGGGCAGGACTCTCTCTTCCTGGCTCACCGCTCTCACCTGAGCACTTCTCACAGCATTTAACACAAACAGGGACCCGACAGGGGTGCTAAAACAAAGACCGCCATTGACACGTGCTGCTGGGATGGCGTGACTTTAGGAAGGCAAGAAGCATAGACTGAACAAGTTCCCCACTGCAAGACCTGTCAAAGTTTCAGATAGGAAAATAGGCACCATGGATCTGTAAAGAAGCAGATTTACCACACCTCCCTTTTGGACAGAATTCTGGTTGACGTGCACGAAACTCTGGGCTACATGGAAATCAGTCACTTGGAAGTGATGAAGTGTGAAGACCTCAGGAATGTGGTGTGTGTCAGTCAGCGAGGTGGCAGCCATAGTTTGGACCTTGTGTTCCTGGGATGTCTAAACCTGCGTACCACCAAACCTCACAAAGCAGATTTCCCTGTGCAGAGGGACTGAGGATAATGACGCTCAGTAAGGCCATGAGGGAACCAGGGAGTAGCACAGGTCCTTCCCTGACAGACACAGGTGGGCCAGGCAACAAACTGTCCTTCAGGTTGCACAGAAATGGGAGTAGGAGAGGAAAGTGTGGCAACAGGAAGTTCTGAACAATTGTCTTGCTGAGCAGGAGTGAGATAATGGCTTTGAGTGGGAAGGCTCCCTGAGGCCAAGGCCATCGTTAGCCGGGCTGAACAGCACCCAGGTGGCCAGGGTGCTCTCCTGGTTTGAGTAACTGCAGAAGCTCATCTTCCAGGCTCCTGTCTGTCTCGGGCTCTGGTCCTCTACCCCTCCACCCTCTGGCCATGGGAGGGTCTTGTAGCTTGAAGGGATATGGTCCTAGGATTTCCTGTGCTTGCCTAGGATTGAAGGGGCATCTAGACTCTAGAAGTGTTCCTGGAGTACAGAAGCCCCTCTTGCTGTGGCAGAAGCATCCGTAACAACGAGTCTGAGACACAGGGTTTCAAAGGGGAACAGGTGAGTGAGTTGACAGTGTGGAGCAGGAGACAGCCTGGGTCCTGATCCAATGGTGGGTTCTGGGGTTGACAGTGTGGAGCAGGAGACAGCCTGGGTCCTGATCCAATGGTGGGTTCTGGGGTTTTGTTCATTTTTTGAAACAGAATCTTATGTAGCCCAGGCTGGCCTCAAACTCACTATGTTGCCTTGAACCACATGCTCCCGGCTCCCAAGTGCTGGGATTACAGGCATGTGCCACCAATCCTGATTTATACAGTGCTGGAACGGAACTCGGGGCTCCATGCATGCGAGGCAAACACTGCCACCTGTGCTACAAACCCAGCCCCAGCAGAGCCTGTTTTTGTTAAAAGGGAAGAAAGACGCTGGAGAGTCAGTGTGTATGAGGGAGTGTTGGGAAGTCTCTGGCTCGGTGGGGCGCTAAGCTGGGGAAGACCTCCCTAGAGGCACTACTTATACTGGGCACTAAACCAAATGGTCAGTTTGTCTACATCTTTTTCTGGCTGGGAATCCTTGAAGAAGTGACTTGATCTCAACATGCCACAGTTTCTAAGTTGTAAAATTAAAATCACTATGGTGCACACCTAGGGGCTGTGAATGGATTCAATGAGTAAATGTCATGGAATTCTTAGACCCAGGTCTGTGGACCAGGTCCTTAAACTAATGCCTGATGTGTGCCTCATTCCACAGACCACCTCCTCCACCAGGATGCTTCTCCCGCGCTCCGCATCCTCTGCTTTCTTCCTTCACAGGCTGCGGCACTCAGCTCTGTAGGCTCCACTGCACTCCATACCCTGAGTTCTCACGGCTTCCGCCCCACCATCATTCCCCAGCAGTCCTTGGCTGATGATCCTGCTACTATAAGGAGCTGTGATTCTGAATCTATTTCTGCCACAAGCCTTGGAGTCCCTAGAGGGCCGGGTAGCACCTGGGCATTACCACCTCAGGTCCTGGCACTGTGGCACTCAGGCAATGTCTGAGTCTAGCTAGCTGGTTTGCTGGATGAGCCTAACAGTCTTGAACAAGGGTGAAGCTATCTGAAGCCAGTAGATGTCTGCTCTTCTGGGCCATCTGGTCTACCCATCACGCCATCCCTCCAATAGGCAACGTCAGTCCATACTCACCATGCCGTTCAGCAGCTCCCCCTTCATAAACAGCAGAGACGACCACCTTCCCCACGGGGGAGTCCACTCCACCCTCCAGGGCCAAGTCTAAAGACCCCTCCTGGGTGGAGGAAAGCAGGTCTTAGGTGGCCATACAGACAGCAGCCTGTGGAGCACCAGGAAGTCTCCCGCAGGGTTACAGAGTGTAGGAGGCATGGACCATGCAGTACAGAGGCCATGGCAGAACCATGACAGAAAGCAGGCCTGGGTTAAGTATGTATCCCCACAAGGAGCAGGGAGAGGATCAGAAGCCCTAGGAGCAGAATAAGTAGGGACCAAAATGGCAAAGGTAGAGAAGGTTGGTGACCAGCCTCCACCCCGTGACCAGGTACCTTTTTGATGCGCAGAAGCCGGACATCCTTCCCTGCAATCTGCTCTGGTGAGAACTAGAAATAGAAAACCAGGGTGGGGACAGCTGTGAACCTGCTGAAGGGTGTGAGTACCCTGGCCTTGATTGACAACAAACACACACATGTGCGCACACATGCACACATGCACTCGCAGCCCCAAGACCCAGCCCCCCGTTCTAGGCTTACTAGGGTGATGGAAGAAAGAGCCTCATGAACACATGGCTGGTGCCTGGCACAAAGCTAAAGCTCGCTCTGCAAGAGTAGCTGCTATGATAACTCCACACCACACCAACACGTGTGTGTATGTACACTTGCATGCATGCAACACATTTTGTACATGTATTACACACATGAATGTGCGTATGTATACATATATGCACAGCACACACACCACGGTTCTCACTGAAAGGCTGTCTAAATGGAGCCTTTGCAGGAAAGGGCGTCTGGGGCACTGTTGGGACTCTTTGTATGCCCCACGGTCCAGAATAAAGCTCCAGTTCCTCTCACTTGGGGGACTGCTTCCCCTGAGCTGGAGAGCTGCCTCTTACCATGGAGTAGGGGTCAAAGCCTTCTTCATATTTTCTGAAATCCTGGAAGCAAAAGAAGGGCTTTAGCATGGAGAGGAGAGGCCACGGAGGCACACTACAAATACAGGCTCAGACAGGCAAGGAAGAGGGCAAGCGGGCCAGATTCCAGGGAGCAGAAGTGAGCAGGGGATGGGGGTAGCTGTGGTCAGGGTGGGGGTCGAGGGAGGAGGCTGGCAGTGACAACGGAGGGAGCACCCCGCTTAGGGGCCAGCAGGAAGCTGCAGGAAGCATTTGGAAGCGCGTGGCCCTGTCTCTGCTCTATGGTGGGTGGCCAACTGTGACTTCAGGAACATCACTGGGATCTGGACACCTGAGCAGGTGGACCTTGGCTCACAGAGAGTCTCACTCTGCAGGCCTTTGGGGCCCAGGCTGGCCTTCTCTGTTCACTGCAGGATGTGACCAGGCCATACGTGTGAAGCCATGCTTCTCCACCCAGTGCTCTGACCTCAGAGAGGTCCAGGAGGAGGTTGCTTGGCCTGGCGAACATGGCCACAAGTGCCTGGGGTAGGCAAGGGGCACTCTATAAGGGAGAAGAGAGGCGTGGTGAGATTGGGGGCGGGTGTCTGGAGGAAAGAGGCCTCCCTCCCCATGGGGGATGAAAAGAATACACAGCTCCGGGGCCCTGGCTCAGTGGGGGCAGCTGTGGTGAAATCAGAATCGGAAACAACATGCTGAGAAGAAGAGGGCGAAGTCAGAGCAAGTGGGCCAGGAGTCGCCAACAGTAAGCCAAGCTAGGGCGACAACGGCCTCAAAAGCCAGGGTGGGATTCCTGAGTTAGGATCACAAAAAAAGAAAAAAAACACAGTCAGTCCCTACTGGAAAGGAGGGCACACAGTTTCCTAGGCCTTTGCCAAGTCCTGTGAGCAGGCCAGAGATCCTGCTCCTCCCAGATTGTAGCTATGGAACTCTGGGCACAAGATGAGAGCCCAGCTTCACCAGATGGGTCCCTGGATGTCTGCCTGCACCCCCTCCCCTAGCCTTTTATTTTCCAGGCTGAACCCCAATCAGGTTTTGGATCTGTCTGGCCGGTCTCTGTATGTCAGACAGCACACAGAACGAGGGACACAGCACATCTAAGCACTAGGAAGGTTACTAGGCAGAATCTGGGACCCGTGCCCTTGCCGCCAAGAGAGGCACTTATCTATCCCTGGCTGTTCCTTCCGGAACGTTGTGCCATGCTGATTACAGTACCCGTTGTGGGACTCTGAGCACTGTGCTTAGGTCTTGTGTGAATTCTGAGATTTACAAACATTACTGCTTGTTTGCCTTAAGAGAGCTACACCCTTGGTTCAGCAGATGGAGAAACTGAGGCCAGAGGGGTGACAATAATGCCTAAGGTCACAAGACAGAGGAGAAGGTCAAGGGTTTAACTGCAGGCTTGAAGCCTCTTGCCCCTGAGTTGCTGTTTTTGTCCTTTTGAGGGTTGTTTGTGTCTCTAGCTATGGGCCCTGCAGTGCCTACTGAGCAAGGGAAATGATTTGAGAGGCAGGTGACGTAATGGAGTAGATCACAGACAATGTCCTGGTCTAAATCCAGGTTCTGACACCAGTAGGGACACTCCCTGCTTCTGCTTCACATCTGTGGCACAGGGAAGACAATAAAGCTCCTCCATCTCTGGATGCTGTGAAGATCGAGTTAAGACGCTTGGTGAATTTAGAACTAGGGCCTGGCCCAGCACGGCTTGCCTTCTAAGGATTAGCTGTCTACTGTCCATCACGGGTCCCTGGGCTGTCAGCAGTTGCCTTCGGACACTCTGCCCCTGGCCCCTCCCCCACCACATCTATTCTCTGCCTGTGAAAGAAGCTCCTGAGTGGGGGAGTAGGAGCGACTGCTAGCCAGGTCACTTTTGATTTGGTGAGGCTGTCAGTCCAGTAGGTGGTTCTGGATGGAAGTCCCAGGATGTAGGGTAGCGAAATGGCTATCCTGCCTGACCCAACTCAGATGCCAGCAAAGACTTCCAAGACACACTGAGGAGCCAGCTGCCACCATCTCCTGTGGCTTGGGAAAACTGCAATCTGCGAGGAACAAGTGCAGGCTAAAGGAGCAAGCAGGGATCCAGCGGGCCCACTCCCACGCCCTCCTTTCTCCTAATCTCGGCCTCCAGGGTCCCCTGTGTCCCACTTCCTCTTTGGAGAACTAGGGAGTAAGGATGGTGTTCCTGCTGGTAGCCTTCTTTTGTCAGTGCTAACTTTGAAAAGCCACGGGTCCCCTTTGCGGGGGTGGGGGGTGGGGTGGGGGGTTGAAGACACAGTGCTGGCCTGAGGCTTCCCAGCAGGTGGTGCTTGGGGAACCTTGAAACCGCCAGGCACTGGAGTGGAGAAGGAGGAGTCAGGAGCAGGGAGACAGTGGGGGGAGGACCAGATTCACAGGACTACTATGGGTGTCATTTTACTTGTCTGAATGCTGTCTGATACACCACCATCCGCTTCAGCATCTCCTGCGGCTGCCAGGAATAAAAAACAGTTCCCCACAGCATGTTAAAAATAGGTGTCGTCTGCCCCCTGGTGCCAGGCCTGGGGCTGCCAGCCTGAGACTACCTTGCTGTCCCCCCACCCCCCCACACACACACATACCCAGCCCCACCAATAGACTTATGTTAGGGGAGCACTCCAGGCCTCCCATGCAGCAGATGCTGGGAAGTGGAGCAGAAGACAAGTGGACTCAGCAGGCCCAGAGCATGACCTTTGCCCTTCAGGGGAGCCAACGAGACAGCTAAAGCTCAAAATTAGATCTGGAGTGCCCCACTCTGACGTTTGGGTAGGGTTTCCTTGAAGGGAATAAAGTTCTCATGGCTGTGCTTGAGGCCAGTCAGAGGCTGGATCCCTGTGGGATGTCTGCGAACCCCAGCTCCCTTAGCTGTGGGGAGCAGACCTGATCCTAACGAAGACTGAGAAGCTAATGGGGACATCACGGGATCTGCTTTGGCCACTTTCCCCGCGGAGGGTGCCCCACGCCTGGCCAGACAGGCCTTGTACGCCAGTCAGGCCCAGCACAAAGATCACGGCTCTGGAGTTCCAGAGGAGTGCCATGGACAAACAACACCACCTCACCGCACAGCTTCCTCAGTTGTGAACAGGGGTGATGGGAGTCATCTTCTGAGGCAGCCCCTCTTTGGTATTAACACCATGATTTGTATTCACTATGTATTCATATTGTATGCACATATATGTGCACGTACACATGTGTGCACATGCATGTACATGTATGTGGGGGCCAAAGGACAAACTCAGGTGTCATTCTGCAGGTGCTGCTGACCTTATCTTTTGAGACAGGTCTCTCAGTGACCTGGAACTCACAAAGCAGGTTAGGCTGGCCCACCAGCAAGCAAGTTCCAACAACCTGCCTGCCTCTGTCTCCGCTATACTGGGATCATGTCACTATGCCCGACTTTGTAAAAAAATGTGGATCCTGGAGTTTGAACTCAGGTTCTTGTGCTCACACAGCGAACACTCCAGCAGCTCAGCCACCCCCCAGACTCAACACTGTCATCTTTAGGTGGAGCTTCAGCCTATGCAGTCAGTCAGACAACAGGAATTCTACTGGGTACGGCTATGTGGATTCATCTTCTGAGCAATGTAAGGTGACAAGATGACACCTGATCTGACTTTGTGTCATGTTCCATTTCCCCTCTGGAGATGTGAGAACTCAGGTGACAGAATCCTGGTTTGCTGCTCTAGAAACACCCCAGAGGGGAACCCAAGGGGCTTACCAGGACCTCGGATTTCACAGCTGGTCTGTAGATGAAGTTTGGCTCCTGGTGGACCATGACAGGTTTGGAGATGGTGGACACGCCAGGGCCTCTTGGAGGCTGTGGGCTTGGGCAAAATGTCTACAGGGGTTAGTGTAAGAGAGACCCATGTGACATCTTGGTAAATTGGCCAGGGACAGCCATGGTGCTTCTACAAACATGCAAATCACTCCCATGCACAGAGCCAGCCCGATTCGGCTGCCCTGAAAGAGGTTTGGGGAGGTTCTTTTTCACAAGCAGAACTCCACTGCCTCAGTGTGGCTGAGGGGTTCTGAGGGCCAGCCACTGTCTTTCAGAGGACACATTTTCACACTCCCTCACGTTAGTCACCCAATGTCCCCTTCCTTAAAAGGCTCTCTCCTCTGGCAGTATTCATGTCTCCGTGGGGTGGCATGAGGCATCTGGGATTCCCAGTGTCTAGGCAATGTGTCTAGAAGCCCTGGTGAGGACAGGTCCAGGACCAGACCATTCTGGAGCTGACAAAACTTGTTCTAACCACATGATCACTCGGTAAAAATATCTCTTATCATGGCACAGCCCGGCCCCAAACCCTTTGACAGGTCCCCAGAGAGTGCCAACACCCCCGGCCTGACTCCAAAGCCCTTCATGAGACTCTCTACCTTTCTTTCTTGTCTCCCCACCGTCCCCTTCCCAGGCTCCTCACACTGCCCAATGTCAGCCTCTAAGACCTCAGGCTCTGCCACCTCGAAGCCTTTGTTCCACTTTGCCAGACTGGGTTGTAACTTGAAAATTGTTGCTCCTCCCCTCTCCCACACTTTCCCCCAGACACCTGTGGATACCCTCCCTTAACCCTGTTTCCTACTAGACTGACTGCCTTGGGCAGGGACTATGGCTTCCAGTCTAATGGTGGAATGTCTAGCATATGGTAGGTACTTCACAAATATATGCTGGCTGAGCATATGAATAACTGGACAATATGGCGGGCATACCACACGGTGCCTGGTCATACACACAGGGTTTTCAGAACCTTCCTTAGGCAGGTGCTGCGATGCCAGGCACACACAGTGAGGCAGGCTGACTGCAGGATGGCATGCAAACATGCTGTCACCCCCACACTGCAAACTTGTAAGGGGCACACAGGTGGAGGACTGGGTAGATGAGATGGAGGCCAGCGTGATGACGCAGCTTTGAGTCGAGGACAGCTCTGCATTTTCTGTCACTTGAGATATTTACGGTCCAGTCCTTTAAGGTTCATTGCGTGGGGACCTTAAGCTACCCTTTGCTCTGAGCAGTGGAGAGTTAGTCAGTGGAGCCTGTCTTGAATCTTGCACAGTGTTTGCTGAGAGGATGTCCTACGTACGGTTTTGTTCTAAATCACTCTGTTCTTACTAACTCAGACTAGGAACTCCTAAACAGCAATACTTATTGTCTGTTGAGTACCTGCCACTCTTTTTAGTATTAACTCAGAATGCGCTGTACAGGGAGGGTGGTGATGTTGCTCAGCTGGTAGAATGCCTTCTTGGCACGCACAAAGCCCTAGGATCGATTCCCCAGCAGGCAGGTGCCACATGCCTGCAAACCCAGCACTCGAGAGGCAGAAGCAGGCATAATAGAGGTTTAAGGTCATCTTTGGCTACTTAACGAGTTCAAGTCCAGCCTGGGCAACATGAGACCCAGTTTATTTTTATGGTTATTTGTGGGAGTTTTTGTTTTGTTTTGGTGTCTCACTCTGTAGCCCAGGCTGTTCTGAAATTTATGTGTACTTCAGGTTGTCCTCAAATTCAGTGGTCCTCCTGTCTCAGTCTCTGGAGTGTTGAGCTTACAGTTCTGACCCATCATTCTGAGCCCCCCTTTCATGCGCTAACTTGTCTGGTTTTCACAGTAGCTGGGTGCCCCTTGCATTTCTACTTTACAGACCCGGATGTCCAGGCTCACATATAAGGAGTAACAGGTGCCCAAAGTCATTTAGCCAGGGAATGACAGACCACGATGCCAGACTACAAGGTCTGACTTATTATGTCCCTCCTACTATCATTATGTTTCTTGCTGCTCTGATGGTCTTCCTCTGCCCCCTACTGTACTGTATCCCTCAAGGCTTAGCTCTAAGCCCCAACAAGGCAGAGGCACCCGCAGATGGAGCAGATGGAGACTTCGCTGTGCCAGCTTCAGAAGAGCCCTGTATCTGTATTGTTCTCCCTTCAGTTGGCAAATTCCTGGAAGGTAGGTGTACCAGCCTCATGGGACCTTCTTCAGCTCTGCCTTTACCTACTTCTTATACCAAGAGGTGCAAGGCATGAGCCCAGTGCCTCATCTCGGAGTCAGACATGTTGAGGAAAAGCTGTTGCCCACTCTGGTCAATCACAGAGATATGGGACCTTCTCGCCAGGCTAACACAGTCTCTTAAACCTGATGGCTGGTTTGGCTCTGGAGAGATATTCCTCGAGTGAGGAGACATCTCTCTCTATGAGCTGCAGGAATCAAGTCCCCACCAGAGGTTCACAGGATTCCAGTCCCCCTGTGATCCTCCAGCCGGGAACTGTCAGCCACATCAGGACCCTGGCATGGCCATCTTCCCTGGATGACTGGAGTTACTGAATCCACGCTCCCTACAGGAACGAGTAGGAGGCTGATGAAAGCCGTTGGTGGGGTGCTGCCGAACACCTCTAACACCTCACCTCCTGTGGACGGGAACCTCCTCCGCTGAGTCACGAGCCAGACCATGAGCTACTAGGATCAAAGCCTCACATGGCCCTCAGGGACTGACTCTTCCAAAGCAGTCTTTGGCTAAAGATCAATCAATGGGAAATATGTCTTTCTGAAAATACCACTGCTCAGTCTCTCAACGTCCAAGAAAAACATTTCTCATCTTTTAATAGTAAATTTGAGAACTTCTAAGAACCTCTCATCTTCAATGTTTCTTGGGTGGTGGCCAGAAGTGTCTGGGTATAACATACCAACTCAGTGTGGCTTGCTACTGCTATGAAAAAAGGTGCTATAATGTCCTATGATTACCCTGGATTGTCATCCTTTGGTTTTCATAACTAGGAACTCCCCCTAAATTTTCCCCATGTCCCCTTTCTGCAGCTAAATCAGGGGTTCACTTCCACTTATGAGACTTTCTCAGTTACTATAAAGACACAGTTGGCTATTCATTCACACAACCAGAAAGGCCCACACTGCAGGTCACCAGCCTTCACTAGCTCAGGAGCTGAGAGGACAATGACACTGACCCAAACCATTGTTGCTCATTTCACGGTCACAGCAATTCACCATGTAAACACAGGACTTTCAAAACCAGCACAAAGCACACCCATGCAGGATAGGACATCACACCTGGGAAGAGGCAGAGATGATGTTTCCTCCTGTCTCCACTCACTGGAGCAGTGGAGGACAGGGGAAACAGCACCCACACCCCACTTTGTTTGAAAGCACAACATGCAGAATAAATCAGGTGGTACCTTTGGGGTATGTGGGAAGCTCCGCTCAGGGGAGGGGGAGCTGGTGGGTTTCCCACTGTGGGTATTTGCTTCCCAGTCATCGGCTGGATGGCCTGGGTCCCCAGTGCGGAAGGAGTGGTTGCCCAAGGCCTCTTCAAGGGCTGAGGGCAATGGGCGGGTAGGAGTGAGGTCTTGCGTGGGAATGGATGGAGGGGGAGGAATGGGAATCGGGGGTGGAGTGCGCTGCACCCAAGGTGAGGATGAAGCACTCATGTGGCCTGATGAAGGAAGTACGGGAGGGGCAGGGACCTTGGAAGGTGGGCTGATGGATGGAGGGTGGGGCATCACAGGCAATGCCGAGGGAGTCTTGGGCGGGTAGTAGAACATGTCCAGGGGGATGTCATCCAAGTCAGTGGTGTGGAGGTGGAGCCCACCGGCGAAGCGTCTCAAGGGTGGGACCAGAGGAGACACAGAAGGTGGGGGAGGTGGGGGCCCTGTGGTCATCTGGGGGTGGAGAAGTCCTGTCATTATCTATTCCACAACATGTCCACAATGTTCTTATCTGTTTCTTTTACGGCTGAAGCCCCATCACTCAGACCAGAACCGTGTGTGCTGCCACCCAGCACCCCAGCCGAGGAGAGGCCCCAGCTGTGCCACCCGGGCATGACCAGACAGTTTACCCTCTAGAGCAGGACACACTCGAACACTTAGGGGAGCCTAAGTACTGGAGCAGGTACTACAGCATGGACAACAGGCCCAGTGGGGACTGTCTCAGGGCAGAAGGCATTTGTGGCCACCCAGAAGATAAATTCATAAATACAGACATGTCTCCCCTCCCCAAGACAGGACTTGCTGAGAACAGTCAGGGCTGGGCTGTAGACAATAAACTGTGTACTGGCGTGGCTGGCAGTGACGACCAACGGCCACCGCTCCTCTTGCTACGCTCAGGGTGCACTGTTCTAAAGTGGTCAGGGTGGTCCAGGTGAAAAAAAGGTTCTGTTACCTCAGCGATCTCATTATCGGAAGAGGAAATCTGCTGGAGACGGGTCTGACAGAGCCTCTCCACCCAATACTGAGTCTTTTCCGATTCCTCAAGGTCTTCCCGCTCAGTCTCAGACACCTGGGACCCAGGACCCGTGTTCAAAGAAGAGGACAAAGGGCAAGCTGAATCAGGTAGGCAAGCCACACACAGAGGCGCCGCTCTAACCCTTCAGTACAGGCTGGCAGGCCAGCATCTAGACAGACAAAAAATCCACCTGGGCCTGAGAACAGAAGTTAGGAGGTAGAGGCTGGGATGCCAGGGTGACAGAAAAGCCTGCAGGAGCTCATGCATTGCCTGACGGTGCTGGCTCCCAAGAGCCACAAAACCCTGAGGCTCTTGAAGTTCCTTCGTGGCCTCTTCACCCCTAATATGGATTTAAGTTTACTCTTGCTTCCCTGCAGGGCTGCCCTGTCCTCAGAAATGCAAGTTCAGTCTTATTCTTCATTTTGAAGCTAATCTATTCTTAGTGCCAGACCTAATACACTTCACATTTCCCAGGACTTCTCTGGTTTTATAATCTAATCAGCCTGGCATTGTGATTCATGGGAGCATTAAAGAGAAGCAGAAAGAATATTGCCTGCAGCCAGGAAGCTCAGGCCAGCCACCTCACTCAAGACAGAAACCTCTAATGCTGTAAGAGTTCTATTGGCAGGGTTAGTCTTAGGAATACTCTCAGGTTATAGAGGTCTAGCCTCAGACACAGAGACAGAGTTAGCAGCCTCAGATTCTAAGCCTGATTTTCTGGAGATAGTTTCAGACTTGACATCTACATTAAGTGTTGGACCCATATACTGAGCTTGGTGAGACTTGGTGAGAGCGGACCGAATAAGACAGGTGAGTGGAAGGTGAACCAGACTTTCAAAAGAGGCAGAGGGGTTAATCTCAGCTAGACTCTGAGCCAGAAGATCAGCTCTAAGGAGAAGAGGCCTTTTCACAGAATTATACCTTGGAGGGATAAAGTAAAGGGGGGCAGACTTATATGTCAGTGATAAACCCAAGACTCAGTCTGGACAGGGAGGTTAGCCTCAGATCCAGACCCTAAGCCAGGAGACTAGCTTTAGTCTCAAACACACACCTAACATGCATCTAGAGCTGGCCCCAGATGGCCCTGGGTAGGTGGGGCAGTTGTAACCTCTAGACTGGGAAGGATGGGCCTGTCTTTACACTCGTCTGTGGAGAAAGATCCTAACTGGCCCTTGGAAGTAGTGAGACAATGCACACACCCCTGCGACTGTGCACACACCTCCTGGGCCAGCCGGTTGATCTTCAGCTGCTTCTCCTTCTCCAGCATCTCTTCTTTCTCTTTGTAGAGCTTTTGCTCAAATTCCAGTTCCTTCTTGTTCTTTCGCAAGTCCTGCAGGCTGTCATACTTGGCTTTCTTCTTCTCTTTTTCTTTCTGGGCAGATGGAGCGTTGTGTGTGTGATAAGGGTGACAAGGTGCTGTTGGCACTAACATAGGACAGCAAGCAGGGCACCCAGCTTGCAGACAGGACAAGGCAGACTGCCTCAGTGAGCCCCACTCCCAGGTCTGTCCTGTCACACTGGGCATTGGACCTCAGGTTGAGGTCAGGAAGGGCATTGCTACCCACTGTAGAGTGGGAGACATACTCCTCCAGCAGCCAGAACTGGCTTATTGGTTCACTAACTAGCTGTGTGACCTTTTGGCTAAGTTCTGTAATCTCTCTGGACCTGAACTCATCACATCTCTGAAGGAGGGGAAACAGCTGCCCCACAGGCTTCTAGCCAGTGCCCATGAAATACCATCCATGAAAGGGCTTTGTAAATCTCAAAGGACTGCTCAATGAAAGGCATCGTATTTACTTCCCAGGACCTGGGTGTTTGCCTTCCCCAGCATCAGAGGAGAAAGGGAACTCCTGTTCAGATGCTAGCGATGCATTCGGGAAGATTCTAGAAAATCTGAGCGAGCTAGTTAACCTGCTGTGCAAATGTCATCTGTCCTGGTCTGGACGTGGGGCCTTACGCCAGGGACACTAAATTCAGTCTTGATCTGTAAGCTCTATACTGTATCACACAGAGCGTCCAAAACTGGGGTTTCCTCTAAACTGTGTCTCCAACTGAAAACTGCAGGATTTGGGGGTGCAGGGTCAGAAGGAAGCCACAAACTCAGACAAGTCAAGTCGCTCGACAAGTCAGACATCTAGGAAGAGATGGAGCCAGGCTCAGATCTGAGTCCTCCAGGTTCAGTCTTTTACTGTGCTCAGATAATCTGGGGGCAGAGGGACACAGCAGGTGGGAGATTGCTCCCATCACCCAGAGAGAGCACAGAGACAGCGCTCAGAAGAGGATACAGAGAAAACCAGACAAAATCAGGGCAATTTCCAGAACAACTGTGCCTCTGTCTATCAGGGCTTCCTGCTTTTCTGTTCTGAGTCCGCTCAGAGTCCAAGGCCCAGAATGAGGGATTGCAACAGTGGAAGCAAATTTTTCGTGTTAGCTGATTTAGGGGTGTCTCTAGACATCTGAAGGGCTCATCTTGCCCCTACTAAAGACAACCCTATTGCCACGAAAGCTTTGGAAATGCTTGCCTCTGGGACCTGGCTCCAGAGCTCCACAGCATCCAAAGGAAATGTTTCTCTTTGCTTCGGTTCTGCTTGTTTCATGGCTGCCCTGCTCACCAGGGCCCCCAGCTCAGCTCGGAGGTGAATTCCCAGATCATGGTGTAGGTCCAGACAGCAATCCCCAGCAGGAGCCAGAAACGTTCTACTAAGTGGCAGCTAGCTAGAGTAAGGTCATGGTCTCCTCAGGGGCCACCATGATAGGAATGGCCATTCTATCAGTTAGAAAACGAAACCTACAGCGATTTCACAGCTAGAGTGGGCTCCTGAGAAGGGTAGTGACAGGAGACAGCTCCTGTCCCAATCTCAGTAAAAGCATCTACTATCAGATGTAGATGGGTAAGCTCCTCTATCCCTGTACAGGTAACTTAGATGCCCACAATTCTGCCTTCCCTGCCAGTTTGGGAGCTCCTGCAAATTAGGCCATTCGTGATTTCCTGAAACAGTTCCTTGTGTAGTGTGTGTGTGTGTGTGTGTGTGTGTGTGTGTGTGTGTGTGCAGGAAGTGCACATGTTGCTGTAGGTAAATGTGCAGAGAGCAGAGGATAGCCTTAGGTGGAGGGGATAGCCTTAGGTAGAGGTCCTTGGGAGCTTTCCACCTTTTGTCTAAGACAGGCTCTATTGTTGGAATGGAATTTCACAAAGGCTTGGGGATCTCCAATCTGCCTGCCTCTGCCCCCATCTGGTCACCTCTGAGATTACAGGCATCCTACCACAACCAGGTTTTTCTGTGGGTTCTGGGATCTGAACTCAGGTCCTTACACTTGAGAAGCAAGCGCCTTACCTACTGAGCCATCTCCCCAGTCTCAAGCCACTCAAGCAGCTCTCACGAAGGGTCCTGAACGAAACCGTAACCCCTCCAGGCCATGCACAGACTGGGGCCACATGAAGTGGCCTTGGACTGAGAGGACTCAGGGCCAGTGTATGAGACTTGAATCTCTTCTTTCAGATCTGGGATATGACTACTGATACTCATGGTTGTGGATGTATTCCTTAGTTCCAGCTACCGAGAAATAAATCATGTCTGGTGGTTCTGGACAAAGTGAAGATGGGTTTCCAGAGCTGGCGTAAGGGCTATTCTTGTGTTGTGCCTTAATCATCAGTTACATTCATGGCAAACATCCATTTCCATCTATCTACCAACAACTGTTCTCTTTGGGAAACAGAAGCCAATAAAACAGAAGCCAAAATTCCAGCTGTTGTAGAACGGCAATTATGGGGGATCTAGACTGACCCCTTTACCAAGAGCAACTTCCAAGGAACATAATTCGTATGTGCAGAACATTCCAGCTCACTGACATTTCCACAGCTATTAGTGTTTGGAGAACCCGTGCCCTATCTGTTTGTTTTGATTATTTTTTTCCTGTAAAATCTAGGGGCATGTGTGTATATGTGTAGTGTCTGTATCTGTGCGTACACACACATGTGTAATCTATATACGTATGTAATCTATATACTCATATAATATGTATATTATATGAGTATGTGCATGCGTTTGTGTACTGTATCTGCTGTTCTCTTTAGCCACGTTCCAATAGAGACTATAAAGGGAAGATTCAGCAGGCTAACTCAATGAGCCTCCCCCAGACATGCCCAGCCTAAAGCCTGCAGCGAGGATAGCTACAAACATAGCCCAATACAAAAACACAGACTTACTTAAAATGTGAGCTCATTCTTGGGAGGCTTCTGTAACTTGATTGTATGTGAATTTTATAGATGACAATGCCATGCATGTCACAATGTCAAAGAGTGGACAGTAGGACTTCAAGCCATGGGTTTAGCCTGTGATATGGAGAGCACAATCCTAGGAGATCACACATATTCTGAGACTATAACAGGGTGGGAAGGAGTCCTGCTGGAGCTGTAGCCTAAGCCTGTTCACTGCTGTGCAAAGCTGGTATCTCAGGTAAAAACTCACACGTGTCAGGAATACCACTGCTGCAGTGTAACAGGCGTGTGCTGCCCAGTGCCCCAAGCTCACGCGCTGACATTGCTTTGTCTCTAAGGGACCTTGCTGGAGTGAGCTGAGCTGCTTGAGTGATGTCATACCGCTGAGTTCGCTCAGATTGATGTCAGCAGCCCGATTTCTAAATACCAAGCCATCTTGAATGTCTAATATACAGTCCAGATATTAACTGTGGCATTTTCATAATCAAATGTTGATGAAATTTAGTAAGACAAAAGATGAGAGTTTTATGGGGCCTGGAGATAGCATAATAAGATTTAGATAGAAAATTAAAGGTCTCAGAGAATGGAAAGATACATAATCCTAGACCCAGGCAAAGATAGGTCTAGGGAATAGTTGGAATTAATATGGCTGTTTTCCCAAACTCGGGTGCCAAATTCCACACAAGCTGCATCTGGCAGGGTCATCATGAACTGCTTTATGTCACCCACCCTGGCATTTTCACCTTGCGTAGCCCCGGCTTCTGGTCAAGGCTCTGGTCTTGCTTGGCATACCAAATCTGAAGTTGCTTGCCCCCGCCCAATCCCATCAGAGCCACCCAAGGCTTAGACAAGTCTCATGCTACGATTGCTTGCTCTCCCTTCCATGATATCTCTACCACAGTGCCCCTGCCAGATATCAGACAGACAGGGTCAAAGAGTCAGCTTGCAAGTGAATGAGGAGAAGAAATGTTTGGGAAAGACCACAGCTCACATAAAACTCAGGAGAGCACGGCACCTTGCTCAGGCCTGTCCTACCTTCCGGATAGTTGGGAATTTGCCATCGTAACGGTAAAACCACCCAAAGGCTACAAGGACAGAGAAAAATGATGAGACGCAGCATCCGTGGGCAACAGTTGGGAGCTGGGCTCCCAAGGAACATGTGACTTTGTGAAATCCAGCAGTAAAATCTGCTCCCTGGCCCACTTTCCCTGATCCAACGACAGATCTGGGCAAAGCAGGCTGGAAACCGCCTAAGCACTGCCCTGATTCCCAGACTCCGGGTCACCATGCCTGTGGAAAGACATGCTTTCCCAAATCACAGAACGGCTGCAAACACAAACCCCGCGGAAAGAGAATAAAGTACTCCCCAAACAGATGCCTGGTTTCCACAGCTAAGAAATGGCTTCAAACAAGAGGCAGCCGAGCCTCTACCTGGAACTCCAGACAGAGCCCAAGTGTCTCACAGCACAGCTTGCAGCCCCTCTTTAAACACCAGAGAAAGGCAGTCATTTTAGAAGGTTCTGGAAGGGCAGAGTATTAACAGCAAGCAGGAGATAAGCTTCCATCCAGAAAGGAGATTCCCTACCCAGATCAGATAAACAAGGCTTAGTCTCCTTGCCTAGGCAACAACACAGTGGGACAGTGCCCCAGACCTGAGCCCTCAAGGCTAGCGGTGATAGCCCATGCCTGGCTCTCGGTGCTGGCCTGGGTACTGAGCCCAGGATTAGATCGGGCACACCAGTCCAGTGTCTAATGTGGGAGGAGTCTATAGAGTCTTACGGTAAAGGCCAGAGAAGTGGGGATACTTGGGGAGGCCGTATTTAAGTATTCCAGCCAGTGGTTTGGCTGTACCGCCAAGTGGAAGGTAAGTTTTTAGCCTAGCCATGAAGTTTGGCACTCTGTGCACAGGCTAAGCAGAAGCCAGGTGCGTCCTCACAGACCCCAGTGGTTCCCATCACGGTCCTGCTCTTTCGAGCTGGTGTCTCCACTATGTCTGAAGGAGGTGGGCAGAGCAAGCAGGGCAGCCAAGCCAGGGAGTGGAGCATGGGCGCCAACCTGCTGTCCCTGCTCCGTGATTCCATCCAGGTGGTCTGCAGGCTCCAATTTGGCCTCCGCTCCCTGATCATCTACCCAAGGGACGAGAGGGACAAGCTGATGAGTCAAGAGGATTCCCAAGAGGGGTGTGAAGGAGCCCAGGAAGCTGTGGAGTCAAGAGCAGCAGCAGGACTCGAGAGCCTCCAGCTAAGCTCTGTTGCTCTGGCAGGTGCACATAGTGCTTTGAACCTCAGTAGTTTGGACTCTTCTGTCTGTTAAATGGGTTAACAGTAGGGACCTCTGACCTGACCTTAGCATGAGGATCCTTTTGCAGGACACTGAGCTGAAAGCTGGAGGTGCAGGAAGAAGCTGGCAGTATCGGAATATTATGTAGGACTGAGGAGAGGAGCTTTCCATGGGATACTAGATCTTATTTCTCACTACCCTCGTCTTAGGGCTCTGCATCTCCTGGGGGTTATCTGAGCTATGTGGGCAGTAGATGAAGGCTGGGCCTCCCAAAGAAGCTGTATACACAGGCCATATGTCGTTAGTATAATAGGAGTTTCAACATCATGTGGAAACAACTATCCATTCTAGCTATTTACAGCCTGGATCCTGACCTCCCTAGAAGCCCAGCAGGAAGTACTGTGTTTCATTATTTCCTAAGGTCTCCTTTCTTAGGGGCTGTGTTCAGGCTCCACTCCCGAGACACAAAGGACTACTTAGTTTGATAGAAAACTCCCACCACTTTCAAGACATGGGTCTATTGGTTGGACAATAATTGAGGGGTATCCTTGAGGGAGAGGGGGCTAGTGATGTCTCATTTAAGCCCCTCACCTTCCAGCTAAGGGAAGGGGTCCTTGGTAAAGAACTCCCCTCTCTCACACTCTGCTGCTAAGCTAAGAAAGAGTCTTTCGGCGTCTCTGAGACAGTGTGTCCTACTCTGAGAGCTTGGCAGTGTTGGGCGTGGCTGGTAGGCCATGCGGAGGTGGCTGAGGCAGCTGTCCAGCTCCCGCAGGAACCGGGGTTACAAGAATTGCCAATGCAGGCGTCCCAGGCTCTTCTCTTACAAAAGCAGAGCCCACCCCTCACAGGCACAGAAACCTGGGTCAGGTCTAAGTGCTGGCTAACTGGATCTAGTGCTGAAGGTGGTCAAGGAGCAGCTCCTTAGAGCTGGCCATGCAGCCTTCCTTTACCTCTGCAGCCTCTGTGGAGGGGGCAGGGGAGAAGCAGGCTGGAGCCTCTCTGAAGCAGGCAGGGGAGAGCAGGCTGGCTGCATCTGTGGACCAGTCCTGAATGCAAGTTGCAGTCATAAATGCTGCCAATTGACAAGATCTAGACCCCTCCTCCCCGACCTGGGAGGCAAAGCCCTGGGTGTGTCGGTGAGGGAGTTTCAAGATTGGGTTAACTGAGGTGGGAACACCAGGACTAGTGTGGGGAACACCAGCTCATGGGCTGGGGTACCAGGCTGAATAAAAAGAAACAAGTGAGCTGAGTACCAGCTCCTACACCTTCCCATGTGTCCGTGTGTGTTATGGGTGGTGGTGTGTGCGGTGTGTGTGTGTGTGTGTGTGTGTGTGTGGTGTGTATGAATCATGTGTGTATGTGTGGTGTGTGCAAGGTGTGGTATGTATGTGTCTGTGGTATGTGTGCACAGTGTATGTGAGGTGTGTGTGTAGTGTGGTGTGTGTGTGTGTGTGTGGTTTGCGTGATCTGTGCATGTGGTGTGTGTGAGGTGTGTGTATGTGTGTGGTGTGTGTGGTTTGTGTGATCTGTGTGTGTGTGTGTGTGTGTGTGTGTGTGTGTGTGTGTGCATTTCTTAGACTATGGACAGGATGTAACCAGCTACCTCATATGCCGGTTGCTCTGACTTCCTTGCCATGATGATCAAATTGTGAGCCTAAGAAAACCTCTCCTTCCTTAAATTGTTTTGGTCACAGCAGCAAGAGAAGGATCAAACATGGGGCTAATGGCTGCGCAGTGCAGCCGGATGGCTGCAACCGCTTCCCCAGGGGGAGCCAGGACTCAGTCATCCATCTGAGCACTGCCTCAGGATACTGTAGCCTGAGCAAGGGAAAACTCTTGCCCCTTTTACTCAGGAAACTCAATTTGGTTAAGAAGCATTAAATAAATACCTAGCCTGTGAAAGGCCTTTTATTTTCCATAATCCCTGAGAGGGCGTGCTCTCTGCAAAGCGGAGACCCAGTTTCTAGAAGGTACCACACTGGCTCGGATTACTTTCACAGAAGCAATTAAAATCGATTTCTCTCCTTCTGAAGCTCCTATTTCACTCACAAGGGCAAATTAGCTCCCGTCTAACATACGGATCATTCACTGAAAATTTATCTCAGGCCAATCCTCAGCAAATACGAACTAACATGTGGGAGGGTGATGAGAGTGGGCTTTGTCATCTCTGAGGATGACACCTGTGCCCTGCTGCCAGGGGAGAGTGAGATGGAAGAATCTCGACAGACACCCTACACCACTGTTCTGGTGCTGGCAAGGGTGCAGGGCTCAGGTGGGATCTCAAATTAGCTGAGCTAGCCCCATGGCAATGAGGAACCTTGGTTCTCGGGACCAGGGATACACCCACTTGGAGGTTCCCACAATCTGGGCCTTGTGCTCTTGTGAGCACAGTAAGGTGAGGAGAACCTGTCTGTGTCAATCACAACTAGAAAGAGACAGTGGGTGGGACTGAACATCTATCCAAGAATGAGGGACTTGTGATGGCCATGGCCCCTCATTGCTTGGAGGCCCTCTCCTCCACTAGCTCCTGAGTCATCCTGGAAGATGGGACTGAGAGCAGGTAGCTGGGGAGCTTCTGATGGAGGTCTGAAACCAGAGGAAGAACACACGACTGCTAAAGAGGAGACAGGAAGGGCAGGGAGAGCTTAGGGCCAACGTGGCACACCCCCAGACTCCAGAGAGTACAAGGAGCGGGGGGGTCTCATGCTCCCCTCTCTGCCTCCATCCTTAGTGTGCTAATGGCAGGAGTGTGAGTGATGGGGCTCTTTGACTAGCTGTTCCCCCAGTTGCGTGGCAACCTTAGACCACCAGAGATCTACCCTTTCTTTCTCCGTGCTGGTTTCAACACAATCCTAGTTCAGACCCAGGCCAGAAGACAGCATGCTATTCAGCAAGCTCAGGGAGTCATGCTAGAAGCCAGCCCACAGCTGCCAAGCTCTCTGTACCCTCTACAGAATACCAAACATCTGCTGCATCTGTGCCATGGGGTATGATGTGGGAGCTGGTGCATGGACCACACCCCGACAAGGAGGGTAAGCAGATCCCTCCTACCGAGGCTACAGCTGATGGTCCCGAGCACTGCCTCTCCCTGAGTGAAATACAGTGCAGATATCCCTGGGGTAGTCACCTGGGGAGGTGCTGACGAGGGGGGAAGGCCATAGTTCTGTCTAGACCCCTGGGCACCACCCCATCCCAGACAGGTTGTACATACACTTGGGCTTGCGAAGGGGCGCCGGGTGCACCTCTGCAGTGATGGTTTTAGGCAAGATGAGCTGTTCCTTTGAGCCCCAGTCTTCTTCCCACTGCTTCTTAAACTTCTCTTCCTCCTCCACGATCCTGAAAAGAGACCGCCACCCGGGCGATCAGAGGCAGAACCTTCAGAGGCTCGCTTGTGGCTACCAGAGAACCTTGACTATCTTGGGAAGGGAGGCTTCACAGCTCTAGCCCAAGCTAGGATCAGTGCTACAGAGAGAGGTCCACACTCAGCAATGCACTCTGGCTCCACTGAGATGAAAGACTTGGTTAGAAGAAAAGAGGGGGTGAAAGAAGAGAGGATTTAGAGAGGAGTCGGCTGGCCGCAGGTGGCTTGTCTCACTCCTGTGAACATATGTAGGACCAGTGCTGAGAGCAGGCTGAGCCCTGTACTGTTATTCTGCCTTGTATGGAACGATAGCTTTGGGCTGTGCCTTGCCCTGAGTGACTCCATTTGTCTCTGCTTTGAGTGAAAGTGCAGAGGTGAGTGACTCTACAACATGTTTGTACATGTAGACATTACCGTGTGTCCAGGTCCACCCACGATAGCTCACTCCTAAAAGTAGAGAGGTCCCACCTACAAACTTACTCAAGTAAGCTGGGAACATACGGGTACATGGGTGTATGACAACTGTATCCGAAAAGCAAACCCCAAATCTTACCCAACACACTAGACTAGTGAAGGCCCCCAACCTGGACCCCATAAAGAGAAGGACACCTGACGTTGTAATGGTGACAGTCTCATTGACTGGTCACCTGACTATCCAGGGTATGTTAAATGACTGACACACATCCAGGAACTGACAGCCAGGCAATTCCCACCTGTCCCTGATGCTTCGGCTCCTGGAACACAGTGTAGTATGTTATGTGGGTGTTATGACAGTAAATAAGGCTGGAAGAAAAAAGAGGAAAATTGGAACTATTTGGTGCATTTGAGCCAATGACGTCAATGCAGCTTGTAAATTTCTTGTGAGTCAATAAATTCTGTTGTGGAATGACACGGGGTGTCTATGTTTCTGACTAGCTGAGCTCAGGACGTGCAGCCACGGGCGCTCGGGATGGACCCCAACCCACTCACTCCTCCATCTCCTTCCGGTATCTCTCGTTTTCCTCGGCAGCCTTCTGGGCGATTTCCTTTCTCCTCCTAAAACAAATAGAAATTGGCCTGTGTGAGTCTATGCCCAGAGTGGTTCTGCAAAGTCTGGACCCTCTACTCTGAGGGAATTTCATCTGTGCTGCTGGGCAGAGAGTCTGTGCCACAGGAGCAGGTAGCAGGTCCACAGGCGTGTCAGCTCCCATCCAAAGGTGAAGCAGGCACCATGTACCAGGCTGATTCCATGATGGTGAGATGGAGTGGCACCCTCTTCCCTTTCCCAAATACTTAGTACCTGAAATGTATCAGAGTTGGCATTTTGGCAGTGGTTTTGATTTGAGTTGCACGTGCTATTGATTTTCTCAGCCCGCTATTTCAAACATGCAGAGGTGGGCTTATCACCACAGGTGGGTGTCCCTGTGGGCACTGCCAGACTCCTGACCTAGACTGTATAGATTAGCATCCTGGCCTGGCCACCTATGATTCTGGACATAGGTGGCTTCACCTCACTAAGCCTCAGCCTTCTTGCCTATCCAATATGTTGACTCCATCTACCTCCCTGGGTTGCCATGGGAGCTAAACTAGGAACATAAACCACGTCCAGAAATGAACAACACAATACACATAGTAAATGCTGACTGTGGCCAGCAGGAGCCTCTGTATAGCACCGGTGCCTGAAAACCAGGGCTCTTTAGCAACGAGTCAGGCTGTCTAGGACCGGAACGGACACTGTAATCTGCCACTGAGGGCACAACAAAAAGAATGCAGCTGGCCCAGGACAAGCAGGCAGAAGTCCAGTGTTTGGTCTGGACGTGAGCAGGTCCCCAGCGGGCCACTCACTGGCGCTCCATCTCCTGCTGCTCCTGGAGGATCTTGTTGGACTCCATTGCCAGCCGCTTCTGCATGAGGAGCTCCTGCCGTTGGAGCTCACGTTGCCGTGCCTCCTCCAGCCGTTCCCGGTCTGTCATGAACAGCTCCCGGCCCTGTTGGGGGGCGACTGTGAAAGCTCAGCCCCTGGGGAGAAGGGGCTGCCCCTGTCACGGAGTTGGTCAGGGGTCATGGGGGGGCATCGCCGCCATCTGAACTTACAGCTCCAGCTACGACGGAGATGGTCAGGCTGCGGCTACTCTTCAGGACATTCACGGCCTGTGGACACAGGGACAGTCATTCAGCTGGGGCCTGACGGTCAGACTGGAGCAATGCAGGCAGAGAACATAAGGGTCTCTCAGCCATCACAGCACTGGCTGGACGAAGAGGAGATACAGCAGGTGGGGACCCCACATCTCACCTCCTTGTGGTCCATGTTGGAGAAGTCGATGCCATTGACTTCCACAATCTGGTCCCCTGTCTGGGCAAGAAACAGAAAAGGGTTGGTGTGTGTGCATGTGTGCGATCCCTACATTCATCCGCAGAAAGGTCTCCTGGCATGCCAGACATAAAGGTTTTGGTTAAGCAGCCAAATTCTGACTCTTTCCAGGAAACAGACCCAATGGCCTGCTCTGATAGGGATCTGGAAGGGCTGCGAACTCACCCTGGCACATGTCCCCCCAGGCCATGATGGTCTTCTTGGCTATCAAACATCACACTACTACAAATTAATATCTTTTGCTAGATAATGACATTTCCTTTACAAGGTTTAGTTAATGGACAGAAGGCCCTGGACTTTCCAAACAGCAGAGGCTTTGTTGGTCCCTCATTATAGTAACAGTTATGGTTGACATTTATTGATCAACTTTGAGTACCTGGCACAGATCTTGTCTAAATGTTAACTTAATCTACACAACAATTCTAGAAGGAAGGTTCTAGCATACTTATCTTGTAGGTGAGGAATCTGTCTCAAGAAGTGGTTAAGAATCCTAGCTCTGACAGAAGACCATAAAGGTTTGACTTCCAGCCCTATGTTGTAGGAAGGCAGCCTTTGAAGAGCCACTGTCTTGGTCTCCTCAGTGTGGGGGTAACATTAGTACCTGACCCTCAGAGTTGCTATAGGGCTTAGAATGCAGAAAGACAACTCCCACTATCCACACACACAGACCTAGGACCAATGGCTGCCAGAGCTGAAGAAGATGACAGAGGGGTCCAATACCCCTTCTCTGCAATGCCTTCCCTGCTAGAGACCACTAGGGAATCATCAGCCAGTGCTGGCCAGGAAAAAGCTATGTGGGAAGGTACAACATCTGCTGATGTGTGGCCCTGTCTCTCTCATCCTGGCACGTACCTCCAACCCCACCTCTGCAGACAGGGAGCCAGGCTTCACATGACTGATGAAGATGCCAGGCTTCTGGATGGGGCCACTGGAGATGCTGTGGGATACAGAGATGTGGGTGAGGCTTGTCCCTTGAAGCTCTGCTCATTCTTAATGACCAGCCCTGTGGCCCTCTGTCTACATGGCCAGCATGCAGGATGTAGGACATCCATAAATGCAAGGCCTGAGTTCCTCTGGTCCTATCTCCCTTTCAGGCAGGAGTCACAGAAAACTTACAGAGATTTCATCTCCTCAGCCCTTCCCACAATATACCACACATGCTACCTTTTTTGTCTTTCTAGAGCTTTCCTGTTCATTCCTTATGGTGATAAGATTTTCACCAGATCCTGATTAACCCAGAGTTACTAGTGCTTGTAACTTATAAATAGGATGGCACTTGTACGGTTAATTCTTCTCCCAGGTCTGTGGCAGACATCACTAATCAATCACAACACTCTTTCCCTCCCAGTCACACACAGACTCAGAACCTTCCACAGAAAGACGCCACTGTTAACCAGTGGGATGACACAGGTAGGAAACTTTGCCATTCCTGACTAAGGGGCAGCTTCACCAGCATCTTTACTGTACAATATTGTAATCATCTGCGTGGTTAGTTAGCTTCTATATTAATTAGACTACTGTCTCCCAGAAAGGAGGGACTTTTAATTTTATTTTTATTTTTTAAGACAGGTCTTACCTCACCTAGACTAATGTCAAACTCATTGTGTTGCTGAGGATACCCTTGGTTTAGAGTTTTCCTGCCTCCATTTTTCAAGAGCTAGATTTAGAGGTGTGCACCACCGTGCTCAGTGTTTACAGTGCTGAGGTTTGCAAACATGCCTTTGTGCATGTTTGGCAAGCATTCTACCAGCTAAGCTACATCCTCATGCTCCAGGGGAGACATTAAAAATCATCTATGGAAGCTGGGCATAATGGTGCATTCCTTTAATTTCAACACTTGGGATGCAAATGCAGACAGATCTATGTGAGTTCAAGGCCAGCCAGGATGACACAATGAGATCCTGTCTCAAAAACAAAATAAAGCAGTTTCTGGGGCTGGAAAGATGGAGACTGTGGCTCTATCTCTGCGTCTCAAGTTCCTTATCATACCCAGAGCTGGTGAACAAAAATCCTCAGGAGCATGAATGAGAAAAGCGAGAGAAAGTGCTGGGGAGTCTGGGGTCTACTAGCTGTCACTGACTGGTGACAGAGCTCAGGCATGCCCGCTACCCACCTGCAGCCCAGGCCCCGGGAGCCTACTAGACTGATGAACACCTTCTTCTCCTTGGTTGTCCGATTGCTGGGAAAGCCCGAGCCACCTCGCACACCCTGAAGGAGGGACAGAGGCAGGTTACTGGGTCTATATGCGTTCAAAGAGCCTCCTGAACTTGAGACTTTCAGATTAAGTCTCCATATTCTTAAGATTAAGAGACCAAATAGCCATCATATCCCTGGGGTATATAGGTCTGGAGGCCCGCTATACCATAAGGATGTACAAGGTGCCCTAAGGGCCTATGTGAAGCCCAGACGATACCTTCCCCAGAACCATCCCTCCTTCAAGGCCAGCTGCCCAACGTTCATCAAAGGTAGCCCTAGCCTCTTACCCCAGACTCTGACACAAACTGATCCACATACTGCCATTTGAGGGCTTCCTCGGGAGAGCTGAGGAGAAGGGGACACAGAAGGGGAGCTGGTAAGCACATGTGAGGGGCCTGGGATATGTGAAGCTGTCACCAGCACCCTCCCCCCAGTACAGGAGCAGTGCCAGTCAGGACATGCGGGACTCAGGGCCTACAGGGCGACTCAGACGAGCCTGCTTACCTCTTCACAGGGATCAAGCCGATGTCTGTGGGAAACACAACGTGTTAGGGTCCTTGGAGTTGGGGCCATAATACCCACATCCCACCTGTCACAAAGCTCCCATCTGGCCTCACTCACGTCTCACTTTGATGGACACAGTCTTCTTGGTGCGGATCAGGTTGATGACTTCCTCGTGGGTACAGGAGGAGATGGAGTAGCCATTGATCCGGACAATCTCGTCCCCTACCTTGGCACAGAGAGATGGGACAAACATGGGGGAGGGTGTCAAACAAAGCAGAAGGCCCACTACCAGTTGCTCACAGCCCCAGAAGGGGCTGAGAACCAGCAAAAGCTTTTATCTGTGCTGCAGTACTAGGTCACAGCCAAGCACCCCTCTAACTGCTGAGGGATCCAAGGCAGGCAACATTTTCAGTTCCCGGATGGAGAAACCAAGATCTAGGCTGGGAAAGCAGGCAGAGGTTGGGTAGTAGAGCTGAGGCAGGAGTCAGAACTCTGTCCCCTCATCGTGGTGCTTCTGTCACTGAGGAGCCATCAGGTTCTGAGATCCAGCAGCCCACATGGCCTTTGTCCCTTCCTGCCCTCAGAAGTGGGCTCTTGTCTCTGTCAGTTACTAACACACACACTGTGAGTCAGAACAGGGATCTAGGACTCTTCACCCAACTCACATCAATAATGCCAATGTTCAATCTCTTTTGTTCCCTCCCAGTGAAGTTAAACTGACTTCTGAGTCTTGATGCTGGGAGCAAGCGAAGAACAGAATGAACACAGAGCTCTGTGCTCTGTGGGTTCAATCCCTTCCTTCTTAATTCCTTTTAGGTATCTGACTTGAGCCAAGTGTCTTGACTTCCCCGAAACATAATTTCTCTCTTGTATAAAACAGGGAACACGACAGAGCTGTTGAGAATTAAGCAAACATATGTGTAAGGTCATCCAGTACGGCCCACAGCAGCTTCTTAATAAACGGTTGTTAGTGAGGAGGCCTGCCTGTGGAGCCAACTCTAAGAGGCACACCATGATGAGACTGCCCCCTGCTGGCCGTCACTGCTCCCTTCTCCAAGCACTTGGGCCTGAGCTCCTCAATAAGAACTGAAAGATCCCTGGGTATCAACATCTCATGAAAGAGAAGCCAGTGGGGCAGGGGTAGGCATCAGGGTGGTAGGGGTGTGGGGTGGTGATGATGTATTGCCCAAGACCACGAAGGCAGCAGCTGCCACACAGGAACAGAACCCGGGTGTCCTTCTGCAGGCTGAGGCTGTGGGCTTCACTGAAACCCATGCAGGGTCCCCTGGAGACAAGCTGGCACATGTGGGGAACTCAGGCTGGACTCTGAGGGAACGCGGTCTCCGCTTGGGCTCGCAGACTGCGACACTCCTGTAGTCACCTCTTCTCACCACCTGGAAAGGGTCTGCCCCCTGTCTGGGGCCAACACCCATCTTCTAAGCGTCCTGACAGGAGGGCTCACTAAAGAACTTCCTACATTTCTGGGGGCACTGAGCTCAGAGAGGACATCGGCAGAGCTCCCTGCACCTACTTTCACAACCCCAAAGGGAGGAACTTGTGTCTCTGCTCTGCGTGGAACCTGCAGGAAGGCCTTCATGTCGGACCACAGTGTCACTATGAAGAAACAGAGGCTCAGGGAGGCGAGGTGATTTACTCCAAGTTATCCAGTGAACAAAGGGTCAAGTCTACCTGACAGACAGCACATGTTGGGAAAGAAGGGCCTGTGGCCAGTTCCCCATGTCTCGCCTGCTCTGGGTTCCTATCACCAGGTCAGAGCCCTGGAGTCCTAGGGGAAGGCAGGGATTCCCTGTCCATTTTATAGCCGGGACGGGAAAGGCATGGAGGATCATTTTCTGCATGAGCAAGCAGCCAGTTGCATACTTCTGTGAGTAAAGGATGTGGTTAAATATAAAATAGGTTTGTAAAAAATCTTAAGTGTCCAGGAGGGGACAGGAGCAGCAGGGCTGAAGTCCCAGGACGAGGTCCTTTAGAAAGTTCAAGCAATCCCCTGCAGGGCACCCAGCCTCTCAGGTCTTGCCCTCTAGAATCTTCTCTGTGTTGTCTTCTAGCATGAGAAACTTGACCCCTGATTCAGCCGGTGGATAAAAGCAGTCTTGTCCTAGGTCCTCTTGAGTTGAGTCCCCTGTGCTGTTACTACAGGAACTTGCCCAGGACCCTAGGCAGAAAGATTCCCACATGGCCCTTGGATAGGGTTGCAGGATCAGCTTCCCTCTCCCCCTTCCTCTACATGGTACCCTGCAAAAGAGCCTTTGTATGTGACAACCTGAGGGACAGCGGGACAAAGAAGAGATGGGCCCAGCAGCCCCAGAAAGGGGGTTGGCATTTCATAAGCCCGAGAAGCAGGTGGGAAGCTGCGCGTCTGGGTTTCAGGAGAGTGCCCCGCTGCCCTCCTTCCTGGGGCTCCGCAGGGAAGCACTTGTCCTCGGAGAGCTCACTCTGGAAAAAAGGGGCCCAGCTGACGCCAAGAGGGGAGCTCATTATGTGCTCTCCTCGGGCTGTGTTTCTGGGCTGGAAAATGTGCCACGGAGAAAAGAACAATGAAGGGGCTGAAATTTCAGCCGCCTCTGAGAGCCCTGAGACAGGGATTGCGAACAAAGCCCGTCTGTCAGTTTGCTGTCCCCACCCCCTCCTCCTAGCTGTCTCGCACCATTAGCACTGGAGCCCCCAGGAGCTCCCGATGGGGACGTTGATAATAAAATCTCTGAAACTTTATTTTTTTTTACCTGGATAGACAAAAACAACTCTGATACCTGGAGGTCTGCCTGTTCCTGCTCAAACACAAGTTTGGGAACCAAAGGGAAGAAACTTGGGGTGCTGATGTGGCTCCAGGAGACCCAAGTTCAAAGCCTGGCTCTGCTGCTTACTGACCACCGAGCCTCTGTGAGCCCTATAAAATGATTCATCTGATACGTGCTGACTCACTGGAGGGGGTTCACCTATCACCCCTTTACACTGCCTTGTCAGCTCAGAACGCTGGCATCTCAGGCAGCTGTGATCATGGTCTCATTTCACTCCCCTGTTTCGCGAATAGCCTGAAGAGACAGATGGCTTTGCAGATGAAGAAAGCCAGGCTCAGGGTGGCGTCACTTCACTAAAGTCACATGACTTTAAGGAAGACAAGGCCAGGATCTGAATGGGACGGTCTAAAAGCAGTATCTGTGTTCTTAAATATCACACAGCATTAGGCTAAAAGGTGGCCTGTACCAAGGTGCAGGTGCCTGCCCTAACCCTGCTCCCCCTTCAGGAAGCAGGGGAGTTGGAGAGGGGCTCGGTGACAGTGACAAGAGCAGCAGTCAGGTTCCCAGCTTTACCTGAGAAAATGGGCAAGACTGGCATAGAGTTTCATGCGGAGTGTTTGCCCAGTGTGTGTGAGGACAGACAGACACACACACACACACACACAACACACACACACATACACATAGGGACACATATACAAACACACAGAGACACACACGTACACACACACAGACACAGTTTTCCTATAACCTGATGACTTTCACTCACCAAAATACCACTTGAACTGTTCCTTCCCCAAAGGCTTGGGAAAATGGGAGTCCACATTGTGCCATAGAGTGGATCAGGAGGAAATTGGGCACCCGAGACCCTGCCCCAGTTCTTCTGACTCTGTTGACTCACCTGCAGCCCAACACTGTCTGCCTGCCCGCCTTTGATGAGGTGGGAGATGAAGAGTCCACAGCCAAATTCCAGGCCTCCACGTACGCTGAGGCCGAGGCCTTCTGGGTGCAGACGGTCTAGACGTACCTCCTTCAGCTTCCTGTTACAGTGATGGGATTGGTGATGACCCGGCTCAGGCCTGGTAGTCAGCACTGCGTGGGGTGGGGTAGTGGTGGCCCCTCCCAGTCTCTGCCTCTGGCCTGGGGACACACCTGGAGCGTCGGGGTGTCAGCTGGTCATACTCCACCTGGTGCTTCAGTGGGATCAGGGGTCGGATGGCATCAAACAGGGGCAGACGGTTGGGCTCATTGATGACCAGCTTCAGGTCTCCCACGAGCACGGCCACATCCATGGTCCTTTGGAGATGTCAGAGGGTGGGCAAGCGTCTGAGGCACCCATCACCCTAGCTATAGCCTTTGTCCCACCCCCTGCACTTCTGGGCCCTAACAGAGCTGAGAATCAAAAGCAGGTGGGGGACCAGGGACAACAGATGAGCTGACTGGGGGACAGCTGGCTTTCTTGTTCTGTTCTAACATTCATATTCTATTGAACCTACTTGGGTACAGCTACCCCATCAGACTGGAGCATCCTGAGGGCAGAGGGCAGTCTTTCTTGCTCACAGTACACCTCTGAGCCCTAGCCCCGAAGCCAAGTCAGAAGAGTCCGTGTGTACAGACACTGACGCTGCGAGCAAGCAAGAAGCACACACACGGGCTCCCAGGAGCACGGAACAGGTGCTGTCTCAGGTCTCGGGGGGTCCAGATGGCCTGCCTGCGCTCGGCTATACACACTTACTGGTGGTACATCCGCAGCACATCATAGAGATAGTCCTTCTCTGCATCATTTTCAATTAGGAAATCCACCTGAAAGCCCAAAAAGCAGAATTATAGCTGCAGGTCCCATGAGCACCCAGGCTACTCACAGTAGACCTGTGGAGGAGAGGTCACTGTCCAGAGTGCCCACAGCAGTTCCTGAGGCTAAGGATGGAAGAGAAGAAAACCAAGGACCAAATTGCTTGACATGTCAGATTTGTACAGAGCAGCCGGGACTAGCCCAGAAACATCTTATCCCAAGGCAACATGACAGGCACACATGTACGAGCACACAAGACCCCCTCCATTCAACAAGGACACACTCCCATGTTACAGCCGCCACACTCACGGCGATATCACCTGTGTCGGGAAGAAGCCCAGTCTCACCTGATGGTAGCTATAGTGGCGGATAAATGCTTTGAGGAAGGATTTAGGCCACTCACTTGGATAACACATCCTACCCGCCGGAAGCACCCTACAACCAAATTCCTCAGTGCTGCCTATGCTGGGGCACTTTGCCCTGGCCTGGCCTTGACTTCTGTTCACCAGTCAGTCTCCTGGCCTCTCCTTCTCCATTCAGGTGTCCCTCCAGGGGGAGGATTAGGTTACACCATCACAGCTTTTGCTGACGTCAATAACTGGGCCTCCAAGGTCATGTTCAGGAGCTGTTTCATTAGCACCTCCATCCTTGGGAAGCTGGGGATCCAGGAGCCCCAAATTCTGTACTTCAGCAAAATTCAGTGTAAATCTCTCTTTTGGTCTCCAGGATTAGTTAACATTGTGGTCCTGTCTTTGCCTTTCATAGAAGCTGCTGCAAAAGCTAGACCCCACTCCCTTCAGCCACAGGCCTAGGCATATTCTGTCCTCTGCTCTCTGCTTCACCCTTATGCTGGCTTCTTTCCCACAGAGGTTGTCTCTCACACCTACTAACCAACCTGCTCCCACCTCCAGGAACTATTTCAATTCTGCTGGGACATTACTAGCCATAAGATAATAAATTACTTATATTTGTAATTTTTGGAATTTGTCTACTAGAAGAAAATGAGGTCAGCTTCCTCATGATTAATGCAGATCAAGAACTCAATGAATAAGCTTTGAATGGATTCATTAGTCCCAGCCCCTTGGTCTGCCCATTCTCTGCAGGAAGAAGAGCCACACGGACAGAAGAGGAAGGGAAAGGACTTTTGCAGGGCTCCCAGGAGCTTTCAACTGTGACATTTGTTCAAAGCTTTGAGAGAACCTTAGCCTCACACTATTATACAGAGGAGATCACAGCAGTGACCCAAGGCCACGGTTAACGAGCAGAGCTGGGATTTGAACCCAGATCTGATGCCAAGCCCACACTAATGTTGTTCTGCCATGTCTAGTAGGGCTCTGGTCTTTTAGGGTGAAGAGTACCCAAGTCCCCTTCGAGCCCCAACACCCAAACCTTTGCCTTAGGAAGATGTTTAATTCTCATCTCTCTCCTGTCTACTGCTGTTTATTTTGATTGCTTGTTGTTAAGACAAGAGCTCACTATGTAGCCTAGTTGGCCTGAAAACTTTTTTAGATGATTCTATTATTATTATTATTATTATTATTATTATTATTATTATATGTAGATAGGGCTAACTTCAAACGCAGAAATCTGCCTGCCTTTGTTTTCCGAGGGCTTGGGTTAAAAGCATGCAAAACCACACCTGACTCTCTTCACTGTTATGGAAGCTTTCAAGTGGGGTGGGGAGGAAGCTCAGCGGTAAAGTATTTGCCTGGCAGACATGAGACTCTAGGTTTAATACATAGGATGCACCTCTTCCACACCCCACCTCTTCACCTGTTCCTAAAATGGAATATTAAGTGACACTTTGAACCCCAGGGGTTCTGCTCTTTACGGGGAGCATAACAGCCCTGTCTGTTGAGTTGGAGGTTTTAGCCTTAGGTCGGGACAGGAGGGGCAGACGTCCTGGGACTAAATTTTCCTTCTCTGGAGAATCTCTAGAGAACTGTATCTGCTGTGTGTTTGGTTTAAGCAGCAGAGGATTGTCCTCATGGAGGACACTAAATATGCAGTAGTCAGGGGAGAAAACTAAAGAGGGCGTGGCAATTTAGAGTGTTGTGATCCAGCTCCCCTCACTCCCCTGACTGACAGCGGAACTTCCTTGTGGACTGTAATTGACAAGGATGTTTGTGTTCTTCCTGGCCGGTGGGTCTCCACGGAAGGACTAGAGGTATAAAAGGTTGCTGGGCAAATAAAAGTTGCTGTTCTTCGACCTGAAAAGAAGCCTCTGTGTCTCAATCCCGGCACCCCCCGGCCAGTCTCGGCTATCCAGGCTGCGCTGCGAGTGCAGGATTTTTCTGTCTTCCTAGAGCCAAGCACAGACAAGTACAAATGGTCTTCCTAGAAAACAACCCGCTCCTGGGGTCCCAGGCCCTGTACAGCTGATATGGGAGTCCCCTCTGTGTGCTGTGATTACCATTAGTGAAGAAAGAAAATGCCTTGGCCTGTTGATAGGGCAGAACTTAGGTAGGCAGGGAGGACTGGACTGAATGCTGGGAGAAAGAAGGGCAGAGTCAGAAAGTCATGGATCCGCTGTTGGATAGATGTGCTGAAACTCTACCGGTAAGCCACTGCCACGTGGTGATACACAGATTAATAGAGATGGGTTAATCTAAGACGTAAGAATTAGCCAATAAGAATTTAGAGCTAATGGGCCAAGCAGTGATTTAATTAATACAGTTTCTGTGTGGTTATTTCGGGACTGGGCAGCCAGGAACCAATAATCATTCCTCCTCCAACGGACAGAGATTAGACACTGGCTGCTGCATTCAGAGCCCCTACTCACAAGTCATACCCTACTGGTCCACTTCTGAGGCAGTCTGCAGGCCCAGTACTGCCTCACCATTGAGCTCACACCAACCCTGTCCAAATTTATCCACTTCTGCAGAGTCATCTCCACATTCTGCGTAGGACTCAAGGCTGTAGCCAAACAAGCATTTCAGGGAACCAAACAAGCAATGGAACCTCCCAAGGTCCCCCACCCTCCTCACTTTTATTCTTCATTTTTATTTTTTTTGAGTCAGAGTTTCTCTGTTTAACAGCCCTGGCTGTCCTGGAATTCATTATGTAGCCAGGCTGGCCTGGAAATCACAGAGGCAGGAACTTCCTGCTTCTGCCTCCTGAGTGCTGGAATCAAAGGCATGCGCCATCACCCAGCTATCCCAGCCTCTCTTATAATTTCTAACTCGACCTTTCGAATCAGCCATTATACCAAGGAGCTAGGAAGGCAGCTCTGCTTAGTGCAGACTTCTCCAAAGGTGGGGATGTGCAGGCGAATGGCAGGGGGCTCCACAAATAGAGGGCCCATTCCTAGTCCAGAAATGTCTCCAAGAAACCGTCCGGCTTTGCTCTCTGAAAACACTCTCACACCTCCTCGTTCTACAGACTTTCAAGGGCACAAAAGAAAGAGAAAAGAAATATGGAAGTCTCCGGAAACCTGGCTGTGCGGTAACAATGTCACCATCACTCAAACTGCCCTTTAATACGGTTTTCAGGCGGAGAGATGGTTGCAGAGAACCAGGGTTAATTCCCAGCACTCGCATGGTGGCTCACAACCACCTGTGACTCAAGTTCTAGGGGATCTGGGGTCCTCTTCTGACCTCCACAAGCACCAGGCACACATGTGACAAACAGATATACATGCAGACAGAACAGCCATACACATGCAAAAATAGATAGATAGATAGATAGATAGATAGATAGATAGATAGATAGATA